ATATGGGCAATTAGTTCAGCTGTAATTGTTTGATTGAGTTGGTAAACACATTCAGCAACGAAATTCCACTACAACTTAAGATTAGGAAACATAATAAGTTTATAACCACATTCAGCAACAATATTCCACTTTAATTGCATCACTCATTATATGCCACGTTTGTTAATGACTCATTATTTCTAATATTAGGAGGTGTAATTTCAAAAAATAGAATATTAAAATAAATAAAAATAAAATATAAGCAATTACATTGAATCACAAGAAGTAAAGGTAGAGAAATAAAAGATAAATAATGTACAAAGAAACTATATTTTAAAATTTAAAAAGAAATTAAAAAGTAAAAATAATATAAATAAAAATTTATAAAGAAAATAAATTAAAATAAAAACAAAAAAGAAAGAAACTAAAAAATAACTTTGTAATTACACATTGTAATTACCACTAATTCTCACCCCCCCCCCAACCTTGAGAATTGGAGGGTGTAATTACACCCCTTCAAGTACACCTAATTCCATGTTGGTCAAGTAATTACTTGGCCAAACAAACATGCCAAACTGTGTATTTACATCCAATTACACCCAAATCTATTTTAAAGTGATTTTCCAAACAGACTCTTAATTTTATCTTACTTTACGAAAGGAAAAAAATACTTTTGACCACAAAAAAGTATTTTTGGTCAAAAAGAAGAACAGACCAAACATGCTACTAGTACATAATTTGGCAGTATAATAGAAAATTACTTCTTGTTTCTTGGCTATTAAAAGAAGATCCAGTCCAAAGAGCGAAAACTTTGTTTAAGATTTGGGTGGGGGTCGTGCGAAAGCAAGCCCCTCTGCCACAATTATGATATAAGTCAACCATATAGGCAAGTACCCCTTGGAAGTACAATGGAAGTCATCAACCTAGCCATAGGCTTTCTTGATCACCCATTGACCGTTGTCTCAGTCGATGTGATACAGAGCTCACGGATTTGAGCTTTCCCCTTCTGCTCTACGTGTTGTTGATTGAAGAACAGGCATAGGACACATTCCTCAAGATAGACGAAGCTTCAGAGTTATGAAAAATAAATGGTTATTGAATTATGATATGGAGAAAAAAAAAGTAAAAATTAACATATGTTTTATCGCTAGTGACGGATAGAGCTTGGCCTGTTGGGCCAACCCAGCACGTGATTTAACAGAATTGGACTAGAAGTTTTGGAGCCCATTTAAGAACAAGGCTTTTAAGCCCGTGGCCGGTGAGGTCGGGCTGGGCCGGCCGTGGGCCTAATAAAAATAGGGTAAATTTCACATAAGAACAATTGGACTCCCCATTTTTCAATTTTATAGCCCATATTTCAATTTACAACCACTAGCCCAAAAATAATAGGCTAAGATTCAACATCCAACTCCAATAAGTTTTCAAAATTATCATTTAATTTTAAAAAAAGATTGTTCAAGCTTTTAAGTTAATTTTCGAATCAGTAACTGTGACTCAAATATTAGTTCAACAAATCAAATCCATTTGGGTGGTGAAAATTAGATTTTTAACAAACTTAAATATGCGGGTTTAAATTCCGAATTTGATTTTGTGAGAAATTGGAGTGGGTGTTATTTAGACTTGTTAGAAATAGTATAAGGATATTGTATATAAAATTTGAAGTCATTTAATGGAGATTTGGACTGGTTTTGAACAAGAATTGCAACTGAAAATCGTAGAAGAAGTTTGTCTACAGACGTTTGTATAAATGTGTATAAAAGTGTATAATAGTGTATAAGATGTATTTATACACTCATATACACTATTATACAAGATTATACATAATTATACAAAACACTGGCTTCGTCTTCTTCCTTGCATCTTTTCTGAAATTTAACTCAAATCTACTCCAAATCACTTCAAGTTTAAACTTTGATCTTCTCTTGATATTTTCAATCAATTGGAACAACACCCAATCCAAACAACTAACAAACTCAAAAAATTCTACTTTCTAAAGCAAAGCTTTGAATGACCTTCAATGGTAGACTTCTACTCTTTAATTTTTTTACAGTGCAACCATGTAACATAGGGGGAGAAACAGTAATGGCGGACGACCCCTTGAAGCATATATAAAAGATGTGAGAAGAAGAGAGAGTGAAAGCAATGGTTGTGAGAACACAGATTTAACTCCATAGCTTTTAGAAGCAATGGTTGCAAGAACATAGATTTTGAATTTGCAAGAGGTGGTGTTTTCAAAATATGTACAATATGGGTTAGGCCGGGTAAAACTTAAAAGTACGGGCCATTTTTTGTTATGGTGTGAAGTCATGTGTATTTTCTTGTAATTCTTTCATAAAAATATGTATTTAAAATATATAAAATATAAAAGTAAAATTATATGACCCAAAAAATATCAAGAAGAGTATTCCAAGCTTAAAGTTTATTAAGCTCATTATATTAAAAGATCTAAGTCTTAAAACGTTAATTAGTTTTAAAAATTTAATTGTTTTTAATATTTAACTAACTAATATTGCATACAAATTATAGATGTAAGTGAAAGTGAAGATGTTAAGACAACCTTCTCATAAGCGGATTCACATGTGATTGATGAAGATGATGTGTTGGATATCTCATAGGCGTCATGGACGTTCTCTTGAATAGTTTGTTCTGAATTTTGACTTTTAGTGAATGGAATATAACCTTGTCTTTTACCTTTTTATTGTTTATTGTGATAAATTAGAACAGTATAAGTATTAAGTTTTTTGAAATTTTTCCGATAAGATTTTTTTAGCTTTTAAATATTTATCTTTTTTAAGTTAGAACTTAAAGAAAAATATAAAATTATATTTTAAAAAATGATGGGTCGGGCCGTGGGAGCCTGCAGCCCGTATAGGGCTGGGGTGGGCTGACCATTATAAGGCCCATCAAAATGGTAGGCTAGCCCAGTCCAGCCCGTCAATTGCTAAAGCCCACATAGGTTGGGCTGGACTAGCCCCCTGTCCATATTGACAGCTCTAGTGACGGAGCCAGAATTATTTATATGTATAATTTTTTTTTATACACAACGTAATTTTCCAATGAATTAAGAGGATTCAGAAAAACTCCCTTGCTTCTCCTAGCTCCGCCACTTACCGTAGCTTTAATGATCTTTGATAATTAATGAAGGCAGACATTTTGAAAATAGCGAAAGAATTCTCGAGAACTCCATGGATAAATGAAGATGCTATATTCAAGGTACATATACTGCTCTTAATCTTTCATAATCGTGGAAGAAAAGACAAGAAATTGTTCACATACTCACACTTGAACGTCAAAAGGAGATCAGAAAACAATATTTGACTTGTAATATAGTTTCTTAAGCATATATTGCACATTTAGGATTTAGCTCTCATCCTTAGAAAATTATGGAAAGTCTTCTTTAGAAAATCGAATTGATGTAGATATACATCAGAAAAGAAAAAAAAACAGGAGAAAACGAAAGCATTGCTAAATATGAGGAGAGAGGCCTAACTTAGAAATCATGTTGTAAGTTACTTTTATTCTAGATATATATGCGTATATTAATTTATTTATTTTTTAACAACAAGAATATATACGATCTCTCCAAAATGGAATATACTTGAAAAAACTGCGGGGTTAACGATAGGCTGGAGGTTTGGAGACAGACCCTGGAGTCTAAAGGTTTCAAATTGAGTAGGACGAAAATAGAATACTTGGAGTGCAAGTTTAGTGAGGGGATGCGTGAAGCAGAGGTGGACGTGAAGCTTGTTACTTAAGTCATTCCCAAGAGAGATAGTTTCAAGTACCTTGGGTCTGTTATCCAAGGCAACAGAGAAATTGACGAGGATGTTACACTTCTTGGAGTGGGGCGGATGAAATGGAGGCTCGCATCTGGTATTTTGTGTGATACGAATATGCCACCAAGACTTAAGGGCAAGTTCTACAGAGTGGTAGTTAGGCCTATGATGTTGAGTGTTGGCCAGTCAAGAAATCCCATGTCCACAAGATGAGAGTAGCAGAAATGAGGATGTTGAGATGGATGTATGACCATAACAAGAAAGATAAGATTAGAAATGAAGTTATTAGGGACAAGGTGTGAGTGGCCCCTGTGGAAGACAAATTACGGGAATCGAGGCTGAGATGGTTCGGACACGTGATGAGGAGAGACATCGATGTCCCGGTTAAGAGGTGTGAGAGGTTGACCTTGGCGGGTCTGAGGAAGGGCAGAGATATGCCAAAGAAGTATTCCGGAGAGGTGATTAGGCAGGACATGACATTGCTTTAGCTTACCGAGGACATGACCCTCGATAGGAAGGCGTGGAAGTCGAAAATTATGATTGTATGTTGATAGGTAGTTGAGAGTTTCTCCTAATTGTACCAGTAGTATTAGTACTATTCTTATATTTTCGTGTTCCTAGATCTTTGTTATCCCGTATTATGTCATTATTACCAGTATTGTTAATAGTATTATTATACTTCTTACTTTTAGATCTTTGTTATTACACATAGTGTCTTTGTTTTTCTTTGTGTTGTTATTGTTAGTTGCTTCATGTTTGCGTTTCTTAAGTCAAGAATCTATCGGAAACAACCTTTCTAGCCTCACAAGGTAAGGATAAGGTCTGTGTATACACTATTTTCCTCAGACCCCACTTATGGGATTACACTGAGTTTTTTGTTGTTGTTGTTGTAGTAAAAGAAACACGTTCTATAGTAACATTATAGGTGGTGGATATCACGTTTGAATCTTTATTATAGCCATAACCATTGACATTATCATATTTAAGTGTGTGCTCTAACTTGAAGCCATTGACATTATCATATTCAAGTGTTTGCTCTAAATTGAAGCTCCTTACAGATAATCCCTGTTTCCAAAATGAAGTAACACTTAATCTAAATAAAGATAATTAAAATTAAAAAAAAAAAAAGAAAGAAAAATCCAAGCATGAAATTAGCAAAATTTCCAAATAGAATAGTGTGCCAATCGTTTGGTGTTTAGGTTGTAATATTCGTATTTTATCTCCTTTCCAAAGAATTAAAAGGAGGGAGAGTCAAAAGTCAAAATACCAAAGAAGGGAACTCACTTTGTCACCGGAATCTTCCGGCTCTAGCCTCAACAATTTCATTTGTCTTTGTATCTCTTCGTCTGCGCTTCCCTCTGCTCGTTGCCTTCAGCTCTCTCTCTATCCATTTCTCTCAAGTGAGTTAATCTCTTATATCGTTGAAACCCTAGTTTCTCCGTTGCTCAGGTTTTCTTAATTTCCTTGCACCTACCTTACTAGGGTTTTCTTCTGAAATCGTTTGATTCCGATTTAGTTGACTGATTTGCTTGTTGTGATATTTAATCTTTAGTCTAATTTGGCATTTTCAATGATATATCATTTGCGATTGTGCTGATTGATTGAATTTTGTTTCACTCTTTTGTATGCTCCTTTGCTTCTTCTTCTTCTTCTTCCTTTTTATGTGTGTTTAAAAGTCGATCTATTTATTATGGTGGATTGATTTGATTCTACAGATTATTTGACGGCTGGTATACCACGATAACTGAACTTACTTCAATTTTATCTGGATTAGATTCATCTTTGTTAGTTGGGAGGCTACCCTAGTTTGTTAGGTCAGCTTTAAAATGATAAGTTGCATTCGAATTGATGAAGTTCATAATTGTATGGGTTGACTCAGTGTGCGAGATGCCACAACTTCTAAGTTCGAGTCACAATGGGGTAATTAAGAACCACAGTTGATCTGTAGGGCGCCTAAATAAAAAAAGATTATTGGAATTCTGTTGGTGAGCCGTAGGACTATCTCAATTCTTTGCTAGCACGAGGATGAATGATAAGGTTGCTCTGGTATAACCTTCTTCAGGAAGAAGTGATGAATAAATGTCTTGTTAGCTATAGCTAAGCTATGCAAATGAGACAATAAGTGATTGATATTACAGTCTGGTGAAAGGTTTTTTTTATGTCTTTACCGTTGAGTCAAGCCATGTTTATTATCCATTTGGTGCAAAAATCATTTAAATCTTGGAGCTAATTGGCTTATTAATTTGATTGTGGTTGTGGTAAATTTTGAACTTTACGTATCTTTAATCATATAATCTTTGATGTTAACATGAGTGCCAACATTGTCTTGGCTTTGTCTCTCTCCCTGGTTTAACTATCTACCAACATATGTTACCAGAACATGTTTCTCACTGCAGTTTTTTTCATCTTAGTTTAGCGAAAGTGATATTGTACTTGTTAAATTAGAATTTGAGGATGTAAGCCATGGATATCATTTGGTCAGCAGTTGCTTTCCTTTATTCTTTTCTGTTTTCTCTTTGAATAGTTAAACCTTAAGAGTGTTGCTTTCTTCTTCCGTTTCACTAGATCCATTGAATTTGATTCCACCAAAAAAGGTCTCAATTCTCACCTTACAGCTTGCAAAGCATCTAGTTTTTCTTTTCATTCTTCTTCTTCAAGGGTTACAGTCACCACTTGAACTCATCGAGATTCATTTGAAAAAAAGACAACTCTCACCCACAAGAGAGATCTCACAGGGTATTCCATCACCACCACTTCATTTTGG